TCCCACTCGCCATTGTTGGCTTTGCTTTCACGGTTTCGCTCTCCGAAATGTTTGCCAAAAAGTATGCCTATACCGTCAAGGCCAATCAGGAAATGTTTGCCATTGGCTTCTGTAATATCATTCCAGCTTTCTTCCACTGCTTTGCCACTAGCGCAGCTCTGGCTAAGACCCTGGTCAAAACGTCCACCGGATGCCAGACCCAGGTCTCCAGCATTGTAAGTGCAGTGGTTGTACTGCTTGTGCTGCTATTCTTTGCTCCCCTCTTCTACAACCTACAGAAATGTGTTTTGGCTTGCATCATAATAGTGAGTCTAAGAGGAGCTCTGAGAAAATTCAAAGATATTCCTCAACGCTACCGCCTGGATAAAGTAGACGCGCTGGTCTGGTGTGTTACCATGCTCTCATCTGCTTTGATCAGCACAGAAATGGGGTTGTTGGTTGGAGTTATTTTTTCAGTCTTCTGCATTATTGGCCGCACCCAGTGCCCACACGCTGCCTTGCTAGGGCAAATCGGAAACACTGTCTTCTATGAAGATGATGAAGAATATAAAGACCTTCTCCCAATTCCGAAGATCAAAATCTTCCGATTTGAAGCACCGCTTTATTATGCGAACAAGGACTTCTTCCTAAAGTGCCTCCACAACAGGACAGGGTTGAACCCTGCACTCGAAGTTGCAAAAAGGAAAAAATCCAGGAGGAAAGGGCAACAAAATGTGGATAATAAACTAGGACAGAAAGAAATGTCGCCATGCTTGGCTGTTGAAGGCGGTGACTTTCATACAATCATCATCGACTGCGCTTCCATTCCATTTTTGGACACAGCTGGGGTGAGCACATTAAAAGAAACATTCAAAGACTATCAGGAACTGGAGATCAGCATGCATTTGGCTTGCTGTAATCCTTCAGTGATATCTTCCCTGGAAAAAGGAGGCTACTTTAAGAGTGCAGACAAAGACATGCACGAATTGCTGTTTCATAGTATATCAAGTGCTGTCCAGTTTGTAAGAGAGAGGGAAATTACAACTGAGGACTCTGTTGTCTAGTCCAGTAATTGGCAGTTTGGAGATTCTGTGTTCATTATAGACAGATTGTGGTTTCAACATGCCTGGACTGAATTCTTCCTTGAAACCCATTTGGTAATATGGAACACATTCCCAAAGCCTGTAGTTAAGCAAAACTTAACTAACCCCCCCAAATGAAATCTTAATCAAATAAAGTTGTCTATGGTTCAATGTAACTAGAAACAAAATAAGTTTTGTTCTAACTGATCATTGGATAGTGTTTTGAACCCTGCCACTGGCTCCTGTGTTCCTCATCCTATTCTTCATTTAAAGGAAGGAGACCAAAAGTGTCCATCCTCAGTGCTGAAAAAAGCAATGTTTGCCCTTATGTTCAATCTCAAGGAAATGTGACTTATTTCAAGTGTTTCTTTAAGCAAATAAAGTTCAAGGTGTTGTTTGCTATGTAATTTGTTAACTAGCTGCAACTTGTTTTTTTTAACACTAAACCATTATTTAGCAGTATATCTCTGCCTCAAGATATACCGGTCTCTTAAGTCTTCTTTAATGAAGGTGAGGTATTTTTTTCATGGAGTCTTGTACTTCTTTTTCTTTTCAAAGTTTCTTTTCAAGGTTTTATCTAGCATGAGGATGAATGAAAGCTCTATTTCTTGATTTACCTTTTTAAGAGTAGTTAAGATAAAGCAAGAAACATCAGAAGCCGTGTTTAGAAAGAACAAGCCACACAGAGAAAATAGCTTCACTTACTTATGTCCGAGGTTCTCTGCTTGCTAAATTGCAGAGCATCGTCTCCAAAAGCAGTATTTAAAATGTGTGTCCTATCAACAAGAAACACCTCACAGCATTTTGTGATTAAAGACAAAATTGATGCCTTTCACTGTAGCAGAAATAATCTTGCTATCTAGGGCAGACATGTCAACTTTTCCCCCATTGCCGGCAATGGGGTGGGCGTGGTTTCCTCGTGATGCGTCCGGCCCGTGGGCCGGCAGTTTGACACCCCTGATCTAGGGCATTTTAGTCAATAACAGAGAAGACTTAATTATATATTTTTTTCTAATCCATTATTACAGGTAGTCCTTGACTTAAGAAACTGAGCCCAAAATTTATGTTGCGAAGTGTGATAAGTTGTTAAGTAAATTTGGCTCCCTTTTATGACCTTTCTTGCCACAATTGTTAAGTGAATCAATGCAGTTGTTTAGTAACACAGCTGTTAAATGAATCTCTCTTCCTCATTGACTTTGCTTGTCAAAAGGTTGCAAAAGGTGATCACAAGATCCCAGCACACTGCACTGTCGTAAATATGAGTCCATTGCCAAGCGTCTGAATTTTGATCACGATCATGGGAATGCTGAAACAGTTGTGTGTGTGAAAAATGGCCGTAAGTCACTTTTTTCAGTGCTGTTGTAACTTTGAATGGTCACTAAATGAATGGTTGTAAGTCAAGGACTACCTGGACTTTATTTTCAGGAACTAGGAGGAGGCATGATAGGAGCGTTCCAATATCTAAATGGTTGCCATAAAGAAGAGGGTGAGGGTCAATCTATTCTCCAAAGCACCTGAAAGCAGAACAAGAAGCAACGGATGGAAACTAATCAAGGAGAGAAGCAACCTAGAACTGAGGAGAAACTTCCTGACAGTTAGAACAATTAATCAGTGGAACAACCTGCCTCCAGAGGTTGTGGATGCGCCAACACTGGAAGTTTTTAAGAAAAGACTGGACAGCCATTTGTCTGAAATGGTATAGGGTTTCCTGCCTGAGCGGAGGGGGTGGACTAGATGACCTCCAAGGTCCCTTCCACTCTGTTATTTTGTTATAAAACAGTGTTCCAATCAATCTCATCTCCTGATGACTACATGGCACATCCTTGTGATTTTCTGGGCACCAACAGAAAAGATACTCATCACTGTCTTTTTCTGAAAAGCTTTTTCAACTTCACAGTATAGTCTCTAGCCCTGAAAAGTTTTGATGGTTTCCCATCCATATATAAAGCAGACCTGACCCTACTTAGCCTGTAAATCCAAGCCATAGGGCTTCAGCAGGACATACAGTATTCCAAAATTTTTGTTGAAACCCAGTAATTGCTCTGAAATACTTTATGCAATAACTGCCTCTCAGCATACTGAGCTATGTAGGCCAGGGATGTCAAACTCGTAACGTCACGTGACATGTCGCAACATAATCCGACTTTTTTTCCATTGCCGGCAATGGGGTGGGCGCGGTTTCGGCATGACGCATCCAGCCCGTGGGCTGGCAGTTTGACACCCTTGATGTAGGCAATGCTCAAACACTTAAAATAAAAGAAAAAAAAAAACCAGACAGTAAGAGTTCAATTCAGGATCTTTGTAGAAATTAATCCCTGATCAGAAGAAACTGTGTACAATTCTCCTTCCATACAATTGTAAAATTCCTCTTTTCAATATTTTGTCCTTTGTGCTTTATTTATTAGTCTCATTTTTCTTCTCTTCTTTCATAGAATTCATTAAAAGGTTTTTATTAAAGGCCCTTTGTGTACTTTTACATCTTATGCAATACTCTTCAATAGTACAAAAGGGAAATCACTGAATCACACACCACAAAGTGTCTGTCCAGTATTTCTATTTTCCCCAATGGATATTCCCAATTGCTTTATAAGAAAATAGTCTTCCATCTTCAAAGGGACTGAAAGTGTCCGCTGTAATAGTTGAATTGGTATCTCCTTTGAAAAACACTGTGCATAATCATGTACATTTAAGGAAACCTTTTCTATTGTTTCTTCAGAGATTCATCACACACACACACACACACATTCCAAATTACAGTTCTGATATATATTCTTGCAATTTTAACTCACTGTCTGAAAAATCTTTGAACTGGAAGACACCTGCTTCTTTAAATGAGCTCCAAATGTTTTTTTTAAAGATAACTGTTGATTCAACGCCCATCAGAAGGCAGGGTAGTACATAGTTCTTCACTACCCCTTGAAGCGAGTATATATAAATTCTACTGAAAACTAATTGCTGTTCATAAATCTGGCTTGTACCTAAATAAATAAATAAATAAATAAAGACATCTTATACCAGTGAGCACATTTAAGTTCCTCCAACTGAACTTTCCACTGAAGCAGGCACAATTCAAATTACCATATGGAATCATATACACTCAAAGAAGCTGCATGGACCACTGAGTCCAAACCTCTTGGGCTACTCAGTACAAAAATCCAAATAAAACTATCCTCATTAGTGCGCTTTTTGAACTCTGCTTGAATACATCTAGCGAAAGGAATCTAGCACCTTCTTGGTAATCATCTCACATCACTCACATTTCTCCAAATACAAACCTTGCTCACCCACTTTCTGAGGATGGAAATTGGAAGGTTAGTCAAGAATGAGGGACCCCTATCTTAATTGACATGTTTTATCTGTCTGGCTTGCACTATTTGTTGCTTTGTGATCAAACACAAACCACACTGTGACCACAGAGCAGCCGTATCAGTCTGTTTTTCCTCAGAAATAACAGAAGTATCATCTCTTTCTACTCTATTGTGAGAGGCTATATAAACATCTTCTGAATTTATAACTACAAGAAAATACATGACCATAATCAAGGGATTTCACATGCAAAGGACACCCCTTAATTATTCAACCATAAAATCACCTTTAAAGCAAAAATGCTGTCCTAAGCATTTTCTAGGTAGCCCCTGTAGTAATCAACCAGGCCCAATGCAAACTGAGATGTTATGTTTTAAAATATGCTAAATGATCCCTTATGAATATGCATGCTGGGAACTCTTACAAAAACGTATTTCAAAAAATATTATCTGGTATAAGAAATTATTTTGAAAAGCTAGTTTTTCGTCCAAACTAAGCATAGCTTACAAATGGTTCCCAAGTTGTCTCTTAATCACACAGTTCTTTCTTTAATTCAGGAAAAACTTTTTGACCACCTAGACAAACCTAAAAAAACACACCTACAAATGAGAGGGAGTAAAGAATTTAACTTACGCAGCTTGAATCAGTTCCAGCAGCCAATGGATTCGAATTTGTTCAATACCATTTTGCGGCACAGATGAAATATAAGCCAAATTAATTATTTGGTCTTTACTTAGATTAAACAAATCTGCTTGTCTGTGTGGTAGAGGAGGACTGAAAAAAAAATAAGGAAAAGATATTATTTAATATAGTTAATACTTTTGAGAGCTCAAAATTTCTCATATCAGATATCTCAGCAGTCCATATAACAGCTTTCTAAATGGAGATTTCTTAACAACTGGCAGAACTCAGATATTGATAGCCCTCACTTTACCAACCGCAACTGGGACTGGCAAATTCTACTGGGACAAGGCAGTCATAAAGTTAAAAAAATAATAATGTGACTGTATCCAATTTGTTAAGGGAACCACCCATGGTTGATTTAGCACAACATCATGTGACTTTCTGCTGACTTCCTCATTGACTTTGCTTGTCGGAAGCTGGCTATGAAATTCACAAATGACGATCATGTAACTCGGGGACATTGTGACAACTGCGGCTTTGAAAACTGGTTATAGATCTTTTTCAACAGTGTCCTAATTTCAAATGGTTGCTGAATAAGTGTTTGTTAAGTGAGGATTACGGTACTTCTCAGTTAGTATCTTACATGGGTGACAATTTGACACCCTGAGTCATGTACAAATACAGACATTGGAGAAGATGAAGTTTGGAGAAGAACTCAGGCTGAAAAGGGGCAAGAAACTGTGTGCTGAATTGGAACGGGGAATCTCTCCAGACTCTTGATTAAAAGGGGAAAAATTAAAAGAAGTTAGGATAAAGAACAAAAAAATGCATACAAAGGACTTTATCTTCAGCTGGCAAGAATAGGCAACAAGCGTAGTTATAAACAATGCATAAAATTATTTTTATTTTAAATGTTTTTATGTTTATTTTCTCTGGTGATTACTCAATACAAGCTCAGTCTTTTCTTACACAAACGGATAGTATTTTTTTCATCTGAATTGCTTTTAGATTAGTTAGCACTTCAGTCTTGTGATTTGCTCAGAAATTTATACTGTCCTAAATATGTTTTTCCATTGGAAGTTCTTTTCAGAGGCTTTTGTGTTTTGAATTGCTTTTCATTTTTATTAACTTTTCCAATATTTCACAGGTGGCTATTTGAAAATACACTTATGTTTTCATTAATTGAGTTTCACACTTTTTTTTTTCTTCAGTGAGATGGGTCTATCTCTCCACACAAAAGAGAATGATTTTACTAGACCAGCCTTTTTCAACCTGCATTACATCAAAATGCAGTTCACTTCTAACCTACACAATCCACATTGTCGCAACACTGACAGCAATGACAAAGTGGCAGGTGGACAGCTGAGTTGCAGTGCATAAAAATAACCACATCGTGATCTAGCATTGCACAGTAGGTGAAGGTAAAAAAAAAAATTCTTTTTCCTGTCATGATCTCTTCTGGAACCCTGGAGTGTTGCCTAAAACCAGTTTTAAAAGGCTGCCCTAGATATTTGCCCTAAACTCTACAGGAACAGGAGACAGGGCTATAGGATTTTCCTTCTCATTTTGTTCCCCCTTTTATTTGCTGATAGCATGCAAAGGCTATGGGACTCTCTTCTCATACCGTAAGCCCTATGCCTATGAGGTAGTTCTGACAAGAAGCACAAACAGCAATACTAGTTCTATTTTATTGAAAGTTTACATTAGCAGAATCTTGCAAAACAGAAATTATTTCTCCCCTCCTTTCCTTTTTTTTCTCTCCAGAAAACTAGGGAAGATCCCTTCTGAAATATTTCCCATGCCCTTCCTTCTTCTATGGCAGGGGTGGGGAACTTTGGCCCTTTTATGACTTGTGGACGTCAACTCCCAGAATTCCTGAGCCAGTATGGGTTCCTTTTAAGAGATCATGACAGAAAAAAAATAGGAGAGCTCCAGCCTGGATCATCAGCATGTAAAAAAATATCTTAGCCCATAGCACAGGGGTGGAGGAACCTTGGCTCAGGAATTCTGAGAGTTGAAGTCCACATGTCATAAAAGGGTCAAGATTCTTCCTCCCCCCCCTTCTATGGGTTAAGATATCTTTTACATGCTGATGATCCAGTCTGCAGCTCTCCCTCCTATCTCCCAAGGTCATTTCCACAATTATAAATACACACTGGGATTGGGGAAGAAGAAAACACAGATAAGGACCTCTCCTTAGAAAGCAGATAGTATCACCATTAAGCTGCACCCCAAGGCTGAAGGGAGCTACAGTGGGTAGTCCCAAAGGATTCAGAGAGATTGAAAACCTCCAACCTTTCACCCTCTGCTCATCTTTTCTGCTACCATTGGCTGGGCCAATATTTTTATTTTTCACATCTCTGAACCACCCATCTTTCTTAAGGATATATTATTTGTATATTGCAAAGAGAGGGAGGGTTGCATTAGGTCATAGCTTGCCTATGGGTTCATGGTGTGAGATTTCGAAGGTATTTCTGAATTCATTGCTCATTTTTCCACAATGTAATTATGCTTTCTTAAAGAAATAATTATTGCTATATTGTGCTACAGCGTGTTTGGAATTGCAACCTAACTTCAGGACTAAAGGAAATTGTATTAAGTCTCACTTTGAACAGATTGTATGCACAGACAATTCACATAAAAAATATTTATCACAAACCAATCTTGAGGTATGTATCGGATAGAGGAATGCATATGTTGATTACCTTTGCTTTACCTTATTTTTGTACTATAAAAAAGGGAAAAGTTGGACTTTGCGAAGTTAACTGCAAATATATAAATAATCTGTCTTCAATTTGCTGATTTCAAACTACAAACCTCACGACTTCACTGCATAAACAATCCGTCATTTCTTACCAATATCCCGTGCTTTTCCAAAAATGCCTCAACTCGCCTATAGGGCGTGAGAGATCCACGTTTATATGAACAGATCCCACAGTCGCTTTCATTATGATTAGGCTCAATAACCCCGCAAAGTTCCATGTTTTATCCAACTTCATAGTACAAAGGATCTGAAATTGCCCCGCCTTTCTAGCTGCGCTTGACACCACTATCCGGCACATTCTATTCCTCAAATGGGGGAGCAAGTTGATATCCAAACTATTATTAGCTATTTTTCATGCTTTACGATCCAATGTTATCTTCGCTAATATAGGGGATAGATTTTTTTGAGAAAATGGACGTTGGAGATATTACTGCCTCCTGTTTTATTCCATAATTGCTTTCACCATATTTTTATCAATACCCCCTTTTTACAAAATATGGTCGTTCCCTCCATTTTTACTTCCTGCTTTTCCTTTCAGCCAGATCACATTTTGTCCCAAAAGCAAACGAATAGTTTCCATCCGATGCCAAGTTAAAACCTGGTTGGATGGAGCTGTCTCGCAAGAAAATTATCCTTATTGCAGTAAGAAACTCCAGCCAGTACTAGGGACGTATTTCCGAGGAAACTGAAGGATTGCGATGGAAGAGGAAAATAAAGGCTGTACTCAATGAATTTGTAGCTCAGGGTTGAAATGAGTTTATATCCTGGTGTCTTGCCCGTCTGGAAAATGTGACAATCTAGACCAGGCCAAATCCAAAAATGTCAGGGCATTTCTAGAAGCCTGGCACTTTGACAAATCAGCCATCAATAGACACATAGACATTTAACATCTATAGACTATGCAAAAGAGACAATCAACCAGCACAAAAGAGAAAAAGACTCCAGCACCTCTCCACCAGTAATCGACATTCAGATCAACATAGATTATCTCCAAGGTCACCTTCAGAGCAAGAATCAAATTAACAATACCCCAATCAAGAAACTGTCAAAGAGCCTTTAGTAAACAGCTCAACCAAAGAATCCTTAAGACCACACTGACCCAGCCAGGCAAGACACCAGCATATAAACTGACAGCAGACAGCACTCCTTATTACCACTGATGATGTTATCTAGTTAGGGTAATGAAACATCTGCAAGAAAACAAGCAAGCTCAGAGAGCACCAAGGACCCCTCAAAGGCTGTAATACTGCAGCCCATTTACTGTGGATAATGATCCATTCTGCTTAAGACTTGTCAAATATTGGGCCTTATTACCCAGGAGTGAGCAAATTCCCTGCATAGCTCAGTCAACTTCTGACATAACGTAAGAGTGAGCAACAAGCAATTACCATTAAGGTTTATTTAAATAGGTAGTATGTTTAATTGATATCATGCACACATGTTTATTCATCTCTCATATAGTTCTTTAGGAAACTAGGGAAGCTGGAGGTTAAGCTAAAGGATAAGAAAAGACTAACTCTTGTTGACTGTTGTTTTTCTCTGCTAGGCAGCATAATTTTTACATTTAATTGACCCCGTGGTAGTTGTTTTATTGTTTTTCGCCTCCCAGAGTCACTTGTTGAGACGGGTGGTTTTACAAATTAAGAAACCCCCATGTAATTCTACAAGTTTCATTCAATCTCGACTGATCTTTTAACACCACGCAGGTATACATCCTTTCCAAACCGCAATCGGTTAACCAGTGTTTCTCAACCTTGACAATTTTAAGGCATGTGGACTTCAACTCCCAGAATTCCACAGCCAGCAATGCTGGCTGTAGAATTCTGGGAGTTGAAGTCCACATGCCTTAAAATTGTCAAGGTTGAGAAACACTGGGTTAATCCTATATGAAATGGGATTTAGTATTTGCATTTGCTATACGATTTTGGACAAAACAGGATTCGTATTCGAAGAAACCATCGAGGGCTGTAAAGTTTCAATGAAGCCAAATTCATTTACTAGCGAGCAGGTTCCATTAGAGTCAATGGGATTGATTTGCGAAGCAGCCTTCCGGAGTATCTCTTCAGCGAGGCACTGGACTAGCCAAGAGCGCAGCCATTCCATACAGCCAAATGAAGTGAACATGAAATCGGATTGCTCTTCTATAAACTTTCCTTAATCTCCCCAGCCGCCTCTACTTTAACTTCGCACCTTCCTTTCTCCTCTGGCTTAAAAAAGAAAAGAAAAGAAAATGGCCAAAGACGTCACTCCGTTCCTAGCCTGGCGACCAATCATCTCATGCGGAACGCCAACGGTGGAGCTTTGCAATTAAAGGCGAGCGAGCTTCACCCTCTCATTTTCTTCTCTCCCGTTGATTTGCTGATTCGGCAGTGCCGGAAATGACGCACTAAGGGTTGTCCCTTTGACCAATCAAAAGGCGCGCCGGCCCAGCTTGCTGTTCAATCAAACGGTTTGAATTTTGGCGGTGCGCGGCGGCGTCGTCGTCTGTGAGTTTGAGTCTTAGCTTAGCATCCCGTTCGGATTTTACTTGCAGAGGGAATAGCGGCGGCGTTAACGGCGGCAACGGCCGTCTCTAAGGTCCTCATGGCGAAACCTGTGCGGGAAAGGTAAGAGGGTGAAGGACTTCTCTGAAGCCAAGCTGGGAAGGGAACCGTCTGCCTCTGGAGAGCTGAGCGGCGACCGGACTTCTCGGCTCCCTTGGGAGTGGGAACCCCTTTATTGCCATGGCACTCTCTTCTCCCTCGAAAAGCAGCCTTAGAAGCAAGGGAAGGATCCCCCAGCCGCAATACGGTTTCATTTTTTGACAGCTAAGCAGTGAAGCTTTGTTTGGCTGGTTATAATTCACACCGAAAGACCAGGGCTATGGTCCGGGAATTTTTTTAAAAGAATAAAAGGTGGACAGGCAAATCTTTAAAAAAAAAGATTAAAAGAAGGCAGTGGTTAACCACTTACATTTGGCCGCCAAAAAATTAAAAAAAAAATAGCATGGGTGTGTCCATGAAGTCCCAGGAGTCAAACCGGATTCTAGGATGCCTTTATTCTATCATATCAATTGTGGGTTTTTAAGCTACACAACTGTGTGTCTTTAAGCTACATAAAGTCACCAGCTTGCTTTGGGAAAGATGTTCCGGGGCTTCCCTGTCCATCTCTTGTTGCATCTTATGAGGACAACAACATTGGCTTATTTTACAACTTTGTTTCAAAGCAAGGTGTGTGTGTGTGTTCTGAACACTCAAATGCATTACTGTAAATTTATCTTTTGTTATTAAGCATATGGTGTTTTCCACTGAGATTTATAGTTGAGTGGAAATCTGCGAAATTTATGTTTGTATTTGATGTATTTAATCAAATTTCTAGTCTTCTCAATCACTGAAGGACCTCTATCCTTGTAAACATCTTTTTGATTTACATTTATTGTACTTTTATACCTCCAATAACAGAAGTTTTTGGAGAGCCAGTTTGGTACAGTAAGTTCCAGTCCCACCTTAGGCATTGAGCCAGTTGGGTGACTTGGGCTACACTCAGTAATTACTTTCTCTCAGTCCTAAGAAGAAGGCAGTGCCAAACAGTACAAAAAGCCTTGCCAAGAAAACTATAGGGCAGTAATGGTGAACCGTTTAGAGACCGAGTGCCCAAACTGCAACCCAAAACCCACTTATGCATCCTCTGGTGCTGGGTGGGCGTGGCCCATTGGGTGGGTGTGGCCCATGAGTGGGTATGGCTGCGATGGTAACAACAGACTGGGTGGGACTAAAATGTTCAATCAATCAATTCCAACTTTGCAAGATCTTTTTTTTTCCCCATGAGAAGTTGAAATTGACTGATTGATTGAATCTTTTTTTTTTTTTGTACACGGCGGCAGAGGCCTAAAGCGAAAAGGTTTTTATAAAACCCAGCTGAAGGCCTAGGACTGGAGTGACGGCGCGCATGCCCACAGAGAGGGCTCTGAGTGCCGCCTCTGGCACCCGTGCCATAGGTTCGCCACCACTGCTATAGGGACTTGTCCAAGCAGTTATCAGAAATCAACACTACAAGAACTATAAGTCTGGGGGCATGTTATATATTTTTAGAAAAAGAAGGAGCACATGTATACTGCCAGGGCTATTTTCTCAAGACCCTGAGATGCATGAACAGCATTAAGTTCCTTCTACTGATTAAGTACTCTGTTTTAGCCATCTTTTAACAAGTTAGAAGCCAAGTTTGTCCTTGGCTGCTTGTTGTTTACAGGGTGCCCAAAATCACATGTGATGGTCACTAGATCATAGATGAAGTTCAATCTTTGACATTTTCTGTTAAAAAAAAGTATTAATGTATTACATTGATGTCTAATATTAATACTAATGCGATGCAAATGAGAATTCTGATGTAGGGAGCAGAACTGAAGAAGCTTCTTGGCTGAGAAGCAAAATGTCTTCAAGGACAAACAAAGTCCAGTTGCCTTTTGAAAAAGCACCTTTGGGAGTAAAGGCAATGTGTGCATTAACTGTCCTCATGGCATTGAAATTGCTCTCTTTTCTTTTTCAGTGAAATTTTGGCGGCTTCCCTGGTCAATAGTGTGAATCAAGCACTGGGAAATCTTCTAGATTTGTGGAAGTCAATAGGAATTAGCAAAGAGTTGCAGCTTGAACGCATGCAGGTTGCAAAGTCCCACATTGAGGTATGGATCAGAGTGACAGCCTTGAAATGTAAAGTGTCTTATGTGACATTGGATTGCACGAAACATCCAGTACCAATTCCCAGAACCCATTTTAGGGGGAAATTGCTATTTTGTGGTATGATGCGATATTGGCCATCAAATGTTGCTCCATTAGAAATTTTGGTTTCATTGAAGTAAAATAGAGATAGATCACAGGCAGTCTGCCTGTGATCATGCTATCTTATGATTATCCCAAAATAACCATTCTCAGCACAATAATTTTTAAATAGTTCTTGTGTAAGTTGAAGATCCATTTTCATTTTCAAATTGCCCCCCCCCCACAAGTCCAATATGATTTCACCCCACATACCTGGAAATGTCCCAGCGTCAGTGGAACATCGCAATTGTAGTACTTTGAGGCTTCAAATATGTAAAGTTGCTGACTGAGACAAAGTCAACAGCTGGGAAAAATATGCGGACAATGCCAAGTAAAGTTTTTGAAATGTATAATGTGTTTGGAGATCAGACTATTCTGCATAATTCTAGCCTTTCATTGTAATGATAAAAATGCAGGCTTTTCAGAGATTTTGAAACTAGAAAAGG